CCTGAAACTAATCATACTCTTCCATCTAATGCTTCTCATCGTGTTGGTGTTGCTGCTTTTGTGGTCAACTCTAAAGGGGAGGTTGACTTTCTACATTCATCACCTCCATATTTTTATATTAATTTTTTTTTTTTTTTATAAATCTGAACTTAATTAATGTTATGTATTTTGTGTCTTTAGATTCTTGTAGTGCAAGAGAAAAGCGGGGTGTTTAAAGGCACAGGGGTATGGAAATTACCAACTGGTAGTGTTGAGGAGGTGCGAATTTTATATATTTATTTTCATAATTAAAGACTTTTCTACGCTTTCATAATATAATTAATTAAATATTTTGTATTCACAGGGTGAAGATATATGTACAGCTGCAAGCAGGGAAGTGAAAGAAGAAGCTGGAGTATGTATTCTAGTCTATCACTTTTTATAAAATCAATTATTATAGAATAAGTCGATTTTAAATCTAATTTTTTTTTTTTTTTTTGATATCTCCAGATTGATACAGAATTTGTGGAAGTTCTAGCATTCAGGTTAGAGTTACACTAAAATTCCAAAACTTGAAATCTTTGAATGTAAACTGACAATTACATGAATAATTAATTAATTACAGGCAAAGCCACATGTCATTTTTTAGCAAATCGGATCTAATGTTTGTGTGTATGCTAAAACCAACATCATTTGAGATCGAAAAGCAAGAGTCAGAGATTGAAGCAGCTAAGTGGATGCCTATTGAGGAATACGCGAATCAGCCATTTGTAAAGAATCGAAAATCATTTGAGTATGTTGCTAAGATATGCATAGAACGGAAAGATAACAAATATGTCGGCTTCAATGCAATTTCTACAGCAACTGCTACATCTCTCAAAAACAGCTATTTGTATTCGCATCATCAGGAGGAGTAGTTATCTGATTCACATATTCGAAAACCCAAAACTGAAAAAATAGAAATGATCATGGAATTAAGACTCACATTGGATGTTAAATTCAATATATATGTATCTTGTGCATTACTCCAAGTATGCAACATTTGTTGAAATTTTTTAGTAATGTTGATATTTTAATCATTCTTTTATAATAAAATTAATTTTATTATTCGTAAGTGTCAAATAGGAAACTAGTGTAATCACATGATGTAGTTATTTAATTTTAACCTTGTAGACGATTTTCTCGTAATTGATGATCATACGGATTGTGAATCTGGTTTTTATTAATAATGTCATTCATAATTGTTAGGGGTCGTTTGGTTCGCTGAAATCTGTTGGAATCGGAAGGAACTGTAATTTAATTCAGTCACGTTCCTATGTTTGGCTCAAGTTTTGAGAAGAAATTGGATTCCTAAATGTGTCCAACTTTCCTTCCATTGAGGGAAAATAATTTTCATCTAAAAGATGAGGAAATTCAAATTCCTTCAAGTGGGAATGTTGAAAATTACCATATTACCCTTTTCATTTTTAACATTAAATATGAAAAACCTCCGTCACTACTGGTGACCACCTCCACCACAACCTTCGCCGCCATTACCCACCACCTCCACTACCACCCACCACCACAACCTCCACCACCCATCCACCACCACCACCATCACCACTAATTTCGTTGCCACTGCCACCACCTTCGCCACCACCACCCTACCCCTACCACCGCTTCTGCTACCACCATTACCATTGCCGACACCACTACTACCACCACCGTCACCACCACCACCACTACCATCACTACCCATAACCTCCGTTACCACCTACACTACCATAGTTACTACTCACTTTATCATCACCTCTATTGCCGCCACCACCATCACCACCACCACCACCACCATCACTGCCACCTGTACCCACCGCCACCACCGCCGCCACTAACATCCACCGCCACAACCACCATTGCCTTTACCATTAACACTAGTGATGCCACTACTACTACCACCTCAACCTTCATCACCACCACACACTACCACCATTACCACCACCGTCGCTTCTGCCACTATCGCCACCGCCACCACCACCGTTTACTAGTTTTATAATTTATATAATATGTATTTACATAAATTATAAAAAAAAAGTAAAAGTAATCAAAAACCAATAATGATACTTCTGTCATTTATACTATTCCAATTCCATTTTCCGCCAACCAAACAAAATATAAAATTGGATTCAAATTCCATTTATTGCTAACCAAACAGAATATTGAATTAGATTCCAATTCAAGACAGATTCCAATTCCTTCAAAAATATTATGTGAACCAAACGTCGTCTTAGTGTATCCCTTGATACAACCACCTCCAACGACCTTTTCTAATCAGTGGCAAAATATTGTTTTTTTTGAGTAAATTACATGAATGGTCCCTATGGTTTGAAGTAATTTGCGCGTTTGGTCCCTAACTTATTTTTTTAACTCGGAAGGTCCCTACTGATTGTTTTTATTACGTGTTTGGTCCCTATTGTTTGTTTTTGTTACACGCTTGGTCCTTGTCATACCTAAAAAGACTATTATTTAAATAGGAAAAAATGATGAGGTACGTAAGGTAAGGTGAGAAGGGTGAGATTAGGGGAGTGTTTATTTAAATAAATTAAATAATAAAGGGAAAATAGATTTTTTATGTAAGACAGGGACCAAACGCGTAACAAAAACAAACAGTAGGGACCTTCCAAGTTAACAAAATAAGTTAGGGACCAAACGCGCAAATTACCCTAAACCATAGGGACCATTCGTGTAATTTACTCTTTTTTTTTTAAACCGGCAAATATATTATAAAGTGTAACAACGTAAATTTCAAAACAAAATTTTCATTTTTTATCCACCAAGTTCATATAAAAACATTCTCAAATATTTCCAAATTTAGTTTTTGAAACATAACATATCCTAAGATCATAAAATCAAACTCTCTCTCTCTTTCTCTCTCTCTCTCTCTCTCTCTCTCTCTCTCTCCCTCTCTCTCTCTAGTGTGTACGAGTCACGCCAGCGCCTTCCCACGGTCCTCGCTAGTACCTGAAACACATAACACAACAACTGTAAGCATAAATGCTTAGTGAGTTCCCCAAAATACCGCATACAACACATACGCCACTCGAGGCTATAATACGACCCTCCGGTCGATGTGTCTCAGCAGGACCCTCTAGTCTCATAGCTCGTTGGACCCTCTGGTCCGTTCATAGCTCATTGGACCCTCCAGTCCGGTCTATAACATCATACAACATACATATATCACATAGCACATAATCTCATACGTAACACATAAGACCCTCTGGTCAACACATAATACCACTCTAGGTAACGTATAGTGAGACGACTCACCTCAGGTGTCTCGGTAAGTCTCTGACTCGGTAGAAATGTGATCTAGCCTCCGCCTAATCACATAAAGTAAATATTCTCATAAATATAACTATACTCAAACCTTTCTTAACACCCTCAGAAGGGTAAAAGACCATTTTACCCCTCTCGTGGCTTAAAGGCCTCACTGTTGACCAAACCCTAAAAGTCAACAAAAGTCAACAGTCAAACTTTAACCTGACTCGTCGAGTGCACTTGGGCGACTTGACGAGTCTACACATGTTCACTGACTATCTTAGTCCCTCTTGGCACGTCGAGTCCTTCCCCTTACTCGACGAGTCACACCTAACATGAATCGCGGGGCTACCCCGACTCAACTCGTAGAGTCTCAAGAACAACTCGGCGAGTTCCGCCTTGAACTCCAGTCCCCTAACTCTCCCTGACTCACCCAGTTATTTCCCCAACTCGGCAAGTCTACTCACTGAGTGATTTATGGGAAACCCTCATCCTACTCGCCGAGTCTAATCTTCGGACTCGGCGAGTTCATGCCATGCACAAAATCCATAGACCTCCTAAGGTCAGATCTGTTCTTTAATTCATAGATCTGACCTTTCCAAGCATGATAACCACGTAAAGTTCAGACTTTGACACTCATATATCATCTAAATGGTCTAACTTGGTGATTTAGCCCCAAAAATGACATCCTAAGCTCATAGCTCCCAAAATAACTCATAAAGCTCCAAGGGTTAAGGTCTATGGACCTCTTTAGGTCAAGATCCAAAGCATAGACTCGAGAAGGGACCAATTGCTCCACTTATCCATCCTCTAAAGGGGTTAGAAAACCCTGTCTCTAAGAATCAATACCAAAACTGAAGAAGGTCCGAATAAATACCTCAATATGGACTATGAACTCTGAAGTCACCAAAATTGCACCTCCTTCAGCCTCCTCTTGCCTTGGTAACCTTCTTCTTGCAAAAACACCCACAAGAAGATCAAGAATGGCCTCTCCTTCCTCATAAGCGCTCTAGATCTCTTAGGGTTTCTCTTTGGGGTTTGGTAGCCGCAAATGACGGCTTTAAGGGCCTTTAAATAGGTCCCAAACCCCAGAAATTAGGGTTTCATTAAACAGCGTGGACTCGCCGAGTCCGGCTGTGAACCCGGATCTGAATCCGCGACCATACTCGGCGAGTTTAAACACCAACTCGCCGAGTCTCCTCACAACTTCCAAAAATAAAAGAATAAAATATTATACCTGGGAATCCGGATGTTACATAAAGGCTTCACTAGCAAGATGCTAGGGAAGCGAAAGAGTACAAAATAATTAGTTTTACAAGATAACGCCTACGTAAACTTATCTGCATTTTAGCGGATTGTTACACCATAAATTCCAATCCAAGACACCTTTTTTGATTCTATGTTTTATACAAGTGAATAATACCGATTTGATATTGTCCACTATCTTCGCCGGTTGACTTCTAATGTTTCTGAAAATTCTTTCATTTCTTGCCTTCCAAAGGCACCAAATTGTCCCATATTTTATAGCTTCAACAACTTTCTTTTCCTTTGGGCAGTTTCCCCATCTTCTGTCCTTCGCCAGCACCTCCTAGACTGTAGTACACTCCAAGATGGAATTCGCTATACCACACCATTGTTCCACCTTTGACCACACTTCTTTCGCCAACGGGCACTCTATCAGCAAGTGATCCGCTGTTTCATCATTTACTTGGCACACATCACAAGTAATGGCGTTAACAGGAGCCCCTCTTTTGATTAGCGCCACCTTTGATGGGATTCAATTTTGTTTTACCCTCCATACGAAACTCGCGACCTTTTTTGGAACCGCGTTAGACCATGTGAATTCACCATCTGGTATCAGGTGGGATGCCCGATCGATCCGTGTTCTTAATAATGCTACAGATAATTCCCCATCTTCTTCAAAATCAGATATCCATCTGTCGTTTGAGTTCGCCATCTTCATTACTTTTCTTTTCGTCAAGCCTAATTTCTCCATTGCCTTAAATGATTTCACAATGTTCGACTATACACCACTTGTCGATGTCTTTGCAAAGCAATCATTAAGATTATTTCCAAGCTTATGTATGGCCGTGACTATGCGGGCCCATAGGTGTGCCGAGTCCACCTTGAGTTTCCATAGCCACTTCGATAATAGGGCTAGATTCAGAGTTCTAAGAGAACCCAAGCCCATACCACCCACCTGTTTTGGGGCTGTGATTTTTTCCCAGGAAACCCAATATATACTTGACTTGTTTTTCATCCCTCCCTAAATAAACTGTCTTTGGATTTTCTCCGGTTCTTGAATTACTCCAATTGGTGCAGCAAACAAAGATAGATAGTACGTGGGAAGGTTTCCCAGTACTGCTTTTGCTAAAGTTATCCGACCTCCGAAGCTTAGTGTTTTTGTCTTCCAAGTCGACAATTTTCCGAAGCTTAGTGTTTTGGTATATTAGTTGTTGATGATGATATTTGATTATATCAATCCCTTGAATATTGGGATATTAGTCGTATCAATCTCTTGATTATCGTGATATTAGTTGTATTTAGGCTATTTAAGTCATAATCATATTAGTAAAATGGTAATCAGTTATATTAAATAACATAATCGTTGTAAGCTATATGTCAACCAAGGATTTGATGCAAAGATATGTTAATTCCGACGACAATGGGAATTTTGATGAAATGAGCATTTTTTTCAAAAACTATTGACATTACTTGTAAAATGGGTTGTGGGGTTTCTTTCTTTAACGAGTAGAAATATACAGAGATACCTAGATGAAATTGACAACACTTAAAAATATAAAATAATTAATAAAACTAAATAATAAAATAACAAAAAAAGAATTATGACTATATATGCTGGTAACTTTATACAGTATTTAACGATTATTTTCTAGTGTTAGCTAGCCAGAAAAAGCATTAACGCAAGAAAATGAAAACGCGAGGACTATCGGTGTCAAATTTTTTAAAATTATGCTTAACATGAGTTTTCAGTATATCACATGGACTATGGCCATATCTACTCAAAATGAAAATACAAAATTAAATAAAAAATATATAAAAGTATATATAAAATGGTAATTTGACGTTAACTTATCAATAATGGTGTGTGGAGGGAAACTGTGAAACCACTTTCGATTTGCGTGAGAATCTCTCTTAAAGTAATTCCCAAAATATCAACAATAATACAATAATTTTAATGACAACCGTTGGCATCTCCTTCGCATTCTTTCTTAAAATGTTTCGTTAGTATGTTCATTGTTTGTTTCAGGGAAATGGACGTGAGAAATACTTTCGAGAATCTATACAACTTTTCTCCCTCAAGAAAAAATAAACAAGACGAAAAAGCCATATTACCAACAGTGTAGAACAAGCAAATTAAGGGTGGAGCTTCATAATTAAGGAGATCATAGAGACACGAAAGCTAAAGAAACAGACAACTTCACCACCGTCCACCACCACCGCCACCACCACCACCACCACCACCAAGTTAACCACCGACACGGCGACACTCCGAGCATTCACGTACGTTATCTAGAAACTTTTTGGTTAGAATCATGAATTAGTTTCCTGTTCACTTTTCTATTAATTTTGTGATCTTGGAATATTAATTATCTCCAAAAATCAGGGTTTTAGTGGTGAATGGTAATATATAAAACCGATTATACACTTATACATGATTAAATCGGTTCATTCACATTCTGACCATTAATACACGAGATGTGAATCTCTTCTTCATCATCCATTGATCTCCCAAGAGACAATGTCAAGAATTACCATATTATATTAAAAAAAATAGACTATTAATCTTGACCCTTTCTGCACTTAGGCACACAAAAGTGGAAGCCACTCCATTGTTATTCAAAGTCTCAAAAGAGCAACATTTTTTTTTGGAACGCAATTGTATTTATTTATTTATTTTGACTCTATCCTGGGTTTATACTTTATATATAATATTTAGGCGCACTTTCTTTGTTTTCTGATACAATTTCTTAATTTTTTGTTTAGTTGTTGTGAAAGACTTTTGTTTGATCATTTAATTAGTTTTCTACGTAAGTCTATATATTATTTGTGGTCATTGAGTACATGCATAGATTCATTTTCATAATAGTAAGTCTAACATCTACTTTGGTGATTAGAAGGTACAAGTTAATCAATATCTCTCAGTATTAATTTAATGCTTATAAGCTCAATGAATATATTATAGGCTCGAGAGTTAAAGCTATTATTGCATTCCAAACTAGAGAGCTACAACAATGGAAAAATCGTCAAAGGTTCTAGCAAAGGAAGATGATTTTGTTGATATGCTAAATGCATCTTATGATGATTATGAAGGAGTTACTGTGGATGTTAAAGAGGATATGGATGAAAATGTCTTCGCCACTCTACTTCAAACATCAATATCCCAATGGAGGCAGAAGGTAATTATTACTTTTACATATTGTTACTTTGGCTTCTAAATGTTGGATTAATAGTCTTAATCAGTAATAGGGAATTGTCCAACATAGGATGATAGATAGAAATAACAAGTGTTTGCCAATAAAGTTTGTGAGGGAGTTTTTTGCACTATAAGGTTCATAATTTTGAATGATCATTCTTTTTCTATCTATATTTTCTCCAATAACCAATCGTTTCGTACTTTTTTCATGTGAAAAGATTGTAGGATCAATATTGCCTATTTTTTTTATTTGTATTTTGAGGAGGTCTATATTATGGGAGTGTTAATTCACATCCTCGATTTTCTGTGTAATCTTTACTTTTTCCTACTGTTGTTCCAACAATAAACCTTAAGAAATGCTCTTACACCACAGCTCCTAATTGGCTTGTGAGTTAATTAATTCTCTATATACACAATGAACACTTGGATTTTTATCATATACTATTTTGCAGGGAAAGAAGGGAGTTTGGCTTAAACTGTCTCTTGAGTTTGCGAGTCTTGTTAAGCCTGCAGTGAAGGTACGTAAATAAAGAAACTATGATTCATAATCAACATATTAGTGGGCAAGAGTTTTAAGAGTAAATTCGAAAAAAGAACCAAAAAACAGGAAACATCGAATGTGTTTGTTTGTCTGATGATGATGTTAATTTTAACTTGTCTAGCAAGGGTTTTGGTATCATCATGCTGAACCAACATACTTGATGCTCGTGTATTGGATTCCTGAAACTAATCATACTCTTCCATCTAATGCTTCTCATCGTGTTGGTGTTGCTGCTTTTGTGGTCAACTCTGAAGGGGAGGTTGACTTTCTACATTCATCATCTACATCTTTTCTACTTAATTATATATCGCAAATAAAAACATGCAAACAACTATATAAATTTTTTAATCTGAACTTTTTGTGTATTTCCTGTTTTAGATTCTTGTAGTGCAAGAGAAAAGTGGAGTGTTCAAAGGCACAGGGGTCTGGAAATTACCAACTGGTAGTGTTGAGGAGGTTTGCATCTTACTTTTACTAATTAATTAAAGACTTTGCTATGATTTACTAATACGATTGATCATATATTCCGTTCTCAGGGTGAAGATATTTGTACAGCTGCGATCAGGGAAGTGAAAGAAGAGACAGGAGTACGTATTCGATCTCGACTGTGTGACTTTTTAATTATGAAATTGAAGTGAATTATTCAATATTAACATAACGAAACCCATTTCTATAAGTTGTTTTTTCATCTAAAATCTGTTTTTTCTTAATCTCTCCAGATCGATACAGAATTTGTGGAAGTCCTCGCATTCAGGTTAGAAGTGGGCAAAAACTCTAAAGACTTGAAATCTTTAAACGTATACTATATGTATATTCGTACGTAAGCTGACATATATATGCATGCACTACAGGCAAAGCCACATGTCGTTTTTTAGCAAGTCGGATCTAATGTTTGTGTGTATGCTAAAACCAACATCATTTGCGATCGAAAAGCAAGATTCAGAGATTGAAGCAGCTAAGTGGATGCCAGTTGAAGAATACGCCAACCAACCCTTTGTAAAGAAGCGCAAATCCTTTGAGTATATTGCTAAGATATGCATAGAACGGAAAGATAACAAATATGTCGGCTTCACTGCATTATCTACAGCAAAGGCTACATCTGCCACGAGCAGCTATTTATATTCTCATCATCATGAGGAATAATTATCTGATTCCCATATTCAAGAATCCTAAAATAAAACCACCATATGGTTGTAGTATGTGGATTCTACTTAATTTGTATTTTAAAGATATGTACTTAACTATTATACTAGCTGTCTACCCGCGCCAAGCGACGGCTACAAATAGTTTTTCAAAAATTGAGGATTAGTTCTTTCCATCCCATATTCAAGATATTATTGAATTTAGTAACAAACCAAGATAAAAGTAGAGGTCATAACCATTTGTTTAACTTATAATTACTTTATTTTTTCTCTTCTGAATACATTTTTAATTACTATTAATCCATTTCAATACAAAACATACAAGATAGAATACAAGCAGAAAAGAGCAACAACAATGCCTATGATTTTAGAGAGAAAAGCAGCAGTGTAGCATAAAAATGAAACTCAATTTAAAGTAATATTTCATCTCTATTATGATAAATCTATTTTACCTTGATAGGTTTTGGATGATCTTTGTTGTGAGAAACGAATTTTAACATCTCAATCACAACAAAAAGTTTCAATCTCCTGTTCAAACAAAAACATATGTCACAGAGGTCCAACAACAAATTGACATTAAGCCAATAAGTAAGAGCTTTAAAACCTCACAGATTAGAAAATGATAAAGTTGAAGTTGTATGCATTAAGAAATAAGTAAGATATCACTTTTGGATTATTTAATGTATAATCCTCATTGTCCATTAAAGAAACTATTTGTTTCAGTTTTAGGGAAAACACATTTTTCAATTTCATTCACTCGAACAAATTAATGAGAATTAATAAATTAATGCGCTTTAAGCTTTTTATAAAAAAAAAATTACAATTTACAATTACAAACAACCAAAGTCTTAACAGATTGCAAATTGAAATTGAACAATAAACATTTATAGACATTAAAATTCAAAACTCAATGAAAATTGTAGATGTTACAGATTCAAAAAATTTGATTTCTAAATCATGATGTTTACATAAAAATCATAAAAATACAACACCAATTTCTTTTATTAATCCATAGAACTGTATAATCGAGAAATTAAACTCCAAAATATCCGTTGAACATTTAAACAGTTGAACCATTCCAAAAATTTAACTCCAGAGTCTAAATGATCTACCAATTTAAAATATTTATAACAAACAACAATCACAAAGTTTAATTGATACTTTACCTAGTTAAAACATAATTTTAGGCGTCAACATAGAAGTGTGTGTGTGTGTGTGAGAGAGAGAGAGATAGAGATAGATAGAGAGAGAGAGAGAGAGAGAGAGAGAAATAGATACCTTCAACGCCATACATGTAACCAAACAAACCCAAGACAAAAATTAGTAAAAAGCTTTTTTTTTCAGGGTCTGTAATCACACACAGTTAGAGAAAGGTATAAGGTTTCCTCTTGAGAGAGAGAGAGAGAGAGAGAGAGAGAGAGTGGTAAATGGATGGCAATACATAATGTTAGTGAGGGGTATGTGATAACTTTCACCACTGTGTTCTTGTTCCAAGACAAATCTGATGCAAAATTGGGAAATGAAACAAACCTCTATTAAATTAAATGTATCTTTATCTTAATCGATGCTTACCTGAGGCCTCATGTCCGCAATATCGTTTGAATGACCCAGCCAAAATAAGATTGAGACTGACTAATCGAACGAATAAAGAGGATCAGGGTTTGAGATTGAGAGAAATAATGTGTTGGATGTGGTGAGGGAAATAATGATATTAGAAACCACAAAAGGGAAGTACTACTACAACCATTATACATCTCCTGCCCCGATCATTCACATCCTTTGCCATCAAATAAATGCAAATGGCTGAAGACGCAGTGGTGAATGGCCCTGTCCCTTTTTTTCTCCAGTCGATACCCTTTTTCAGTTGATACCCTTGTACATACCTACACGATGGTTAGAAAGTGAGTGAGTGAGAGAGAGAGAGAGAGAGAGAGAGAGAGGTGGTCAAACCATCTCTATCGCTAGCCTCACCTTCTCCCCTCCCTAGTGCGATGGAGACTCATAGTCCCAATACTCCTCAGGCCGAATAACAGTGCCATCGGTATAAACCCTACCCTTGGAGGGGCGCCGGGACGGCAAATAGCTTTTCCAATGGTGGATTTCGATGGTCACAGATGCGAATGAGAAACAAGAGCTTTTCTTCGAGGAGTAGATCACTCACGAACCAATCAACCCTGAGATATTATCAAACCCCACGTCGATGAAAATCCACAGATTACCTGTGGTCTAGAGGGGCTTCGATTGTTCCACGTTGGCGGCCGATTGCGGATCTTTAGAGTTTGACGCCGCCGGCGGAAGTAAAAGGAACCCAGAAGGAACATCTATTGAAAAATCAATGGCGTCGTTTGATGGAGGAACATCTGATGGAGGAGGTACAAATGACATTAAGCGGTGGGAAAAAAAAGTTCGAGAAGCGGTGTAAAAGTCGAAAAGAAGCGGTGGAAACTGATATTGGGTGAGAGAGTCCGTGGGGAAGTTCGAAGATGAGACGGTGGAAGGATCGGGAAGTGAGGTGATGGAAAAAAAGAGAAGAACAGACGCGGTGACCTAACCCAGGTAACAAATCTCATTTAAGGAATGTTATTTAAGTATAGTAAAAACATACCTTATTTAAGGTATGGTCCAGTAAAGTATGGTATTGCATTAGATGTTTGTACATTAAGCTATTTTAATTGTAACTCTTAATTTGCAAGAAATGGTCAATATGATTAATATAATAGAATAAATTATTTGTATCTCTTTAGCTATTTGATATAAGTAAATCTCTAGAAAAATCTTAAAATTTTAATTTAATTTATGAAAAAGTACCGAATTAATTTTTGTTTACAAAAAAGCATAGAATACCGGTTAAAACTTCGAAAAAACCATTTTTGGCCGGTTTCAGAGATTTAGCCGGTATTCTGTCATTTTTCGTTAGTTTTCTCAAAATGTTAAGATTTTTCTGAAAATTACCCGGTAACCCGTAACCAAAATATTGAAACTTTTTTGAAAATTACTATGGAATTAATGATATTATTATTAACAAATCATTTATAGACATAAAAAAATACTTTTTATTATAAACACAAGAAATACATTTGTTGCTGGTTTTTAGAAATAGAATGGTCGGCTATGTACTTCTTTATTGTTTGTTGACCACTTCAAAGTCTCTATGTTCTTCCTATGTATCGTTGTGGGTGTCTTAGTGAAAAGTATTCTGTTAGACATGATGTCTACTTGCTATTAGACACAACCAATAAATGTCTACTTGCTATTAGACATGATGATATATGATCATGTGTTATTAGAAAATATCATCACATGAACATATAAATCTTTCTGTATGTTCTTTAACCTAAGTACAACTAACCTCCAAACATTACTCGATAACAACCATAAAATTACACACATCTATCGAGAGTGAAAAGTAAACTTTGTATGACAATTCAAATAGATAATCACCTTTCACTTGTTTCCATATAAATTATCATTCACGGTTCATTTTTCATATTTTATAGATGTGTGTTAGCCGATGGTTATTAACATGTAAGGTATGAATGTTAGTTGGTAGTTAGGTTAAACAACATAAGAGGAACACCAACATTAGAAGAATGCTAACTAAGTTAATCTTACCATCATTCCCACAACAATATATAGGAAAAACGTAGAGAGTTTGAGTGGTTAGGAAGCAATAGAGGAGTACATAGACCACTAATTTATTCCTAAAAGTTAGCAACAAATGTATTTCTTTTTATATAATAAAAATATTTTTTATGTTTATAAATGATTTGTTAATAATAATATCCATTAATTTCATGATAATTTAAAAAAATCCCAATATTTTGGTTATTATGTATTTTTTTGGAAAAGTCCTAAAATTTTGAGCAAACTAACGAAAAATGACAGAATACCAGCAAAATCTATCAAACCGTCTGAAAAGGGTTTTTTCGAAATTTTAACCCCGTTATTCTGTGCTTTTCTGTAAATAAAATCTAGTTTTAGACTTTTTCATAAATTAGACTAAAATTTTAAGATTTTTCCGAAGATTTTTATTTTGATATATTAATTAGGGGTGTTCGCGGTACGGTGCAGTGCGGTTTTGAGGCAAAACCGCAAAACGTACCGCATATGCGGTTTGAGTTTTTTTGAAACCACAAACCGCACCACGAAAGTTTTAAACCGCATTGTGCGGTGCGGTTTAATGCGACGGTTTGTGCGGTTTGTGGTTTAAATGCGGTTTATTGAACTGTGTGACTTTCATTTACAACCATGCAACAAAATCATATAACTAAGTATATTAAACAAGGTTGCCACCAAAATTCATAATATACTAAACATCTTCAAAAGTTAAAGTTTTAAATAGTAGAAATAACCAAAAGATATATTATACATATACACCAAAAGATATATTCAATCTCCATTACACTATTGGATCTCCTTTCTCGTGATTTTCCATGTGAGTTCTGCAAATATTAAACTTCAAAGTTTGTGAGCAGGAATTTAACTAAATTTTAATAATAACTTAATCATGAAAACAATTTTGACACTACCAAATACTTACCACATTTTAACTTGTCTATTTACTCGTCAAAATATCTTAATCCAGATCAACAACTTCACTTACATTATCTACAAGACAATAAAATTTAAATTATAATATATATATATATATATATATATATATATATATATATATATATATATATATATATATATATATATATATATAATGAAAAAATCAATTAATATACCTGAATCAACATATTCATACGCATCTATATCCTCTAGTAGTGAACCCATGTCTAATGCCAAACTTGAAGTTCTTAACCAATTTTGACAGCATATCAAAGCTTGCACCATGCTAGGATTCAAAGAGCTTCAGAACGAATCAAGCATCCTTCCTCCTGTACTAAAAGCTAACTTGGATGCAACAGTTGAAACTTGAATGGCGAGAACATCGCTATCCATCATTGCCAATATAGGATATTTAGATGAAGATATTTTCCACTATTCCAGTATATCAAAATCTTTATTTTTTCTCTCCCCATCATTCCGTTCTTCCAAATACCTATCAAGCTCGTTTGATGTATCAAATGCCCCATCTTTCTCACACTCATTTTCAAATTCGCTCTCAAACATATTAAATGAATCGTCATCATCATCTTCTCAGTTTAAATTCATCGGCATAGTGAAAGAACAACTTTAACAAACAACCATTCACAGAAGCGATTAATGTGTCTACTTCTTTTA